TCTATTTAACAAACTTTTAATATGGGATTTTGCACTTTTTGCATTAGACTAAATCGAATTAAAACATGAAATTGCGAATATAACATAAAAATACAATAATGTAAAGTACCTTTAATTAATCATAGCCTTTTTTGTTACGTTATTTTCATGTTTAAATTGAATTGAAAAGAGCCAAAATATGATTTGGGCACTCGGTATCAGCAGAAGATTAAGGGACATCATTTTTACTGAAGATAATAACATTCATCTGAGGTAAAAACAAGATTGTAAGGTAAAATTTGCAGGTGTCAGACAAGTCCGGAACGAACTCATGTTAATGCTAATAAACCACCTACCAATAGATATCTGCTAAAGGTCAAGTAAGTATAATACAATAATGAAACTATAATAGTTTTGTTATTGTTCAATGGAAACCATTTTGTCATAATATAAAACGGAAGTTATAAAAAAATTCCGCAATAATTATTAATAAGGTTATTCAATTATTTGATTCTGTAATTTAGTGTATAGAGATTACGAATTGATGTATAAGAATAACTGACCAACAGCACACCTACTTCAAACCAGTAAATGTATTCAAGGATTCAAATGTGTTTCTAGATATCGATCGTTGGGTTTCTGAGTAATTTTAGATTCATAAATTTCCCAATAGTGGGTTGTTAAAAGCGGAATAGGTACTCTTGACAATAAGATCCTTTTATTGTACCTGATATCCGTGTTAATTCATTGATTGCCAACCGATATTAGGATTATACTACTCACATTGTAAAAAAAATGCTATACTTTTAGTTAATTAATAATCGATAAATCCACTTATATTAAAAAACATTTACTAACATAAAAATCGTAGTTGTTGTCTGTTAAATAGAAAGGCATACATATACAAGTGGTTAAAAAAGTAGATAAATTATAGTAACGATTTGCAATTACATATTTATTTATATACCCATATGTCGCGTTAATTTGAAACTTTTAACTGTCATATGTAGAATTTATATTTTTTAAAAAAGAAGTTATAATTCAGTGTTGGTAAAGTTTGGAAATATCTGCAAAGCATAAATGATCAGACTACCTGGTTTAAAAATTCTACCCAAATATTTAAAAAAATAAATTATCATATTCTGTATATTTTTGTTCACTTAAAGAATTATATTATTGTATATCTATGCAACAAATATTACGTTTTTATTGTTAGTTGGATAAATAACTTACATATTTGTTTTATACAAAATTTTCCTAAAATGGTCCGTATTCGAGAAATTTGACAAAATGTAAAAAAAATAATTTTTTATAAAAATTGTTTAAATAAAAGTTGTTTGTAATATAATTTTTTATAATTTTTATTCCTTACCTAATTTCTCTAAAATGGACATTATTTGAGATATTTGAGAAATTGTGTAAATTTCGAATTTTGAAGAAAACTCAAAAACGGATAATGAAAAAAACATAAAATTTTAAATTTAAGTTTTATTTCGGCCTGAAATGAAATAATTAGATTTTGGACCAAGTCGGATCATCTGGGGGGTACTTTATGGAAGGCCGTTTTTATATTTTATGGAATATATCTGTTATTAATGTTTGGAGAAGAAAATTGTTCAAATAAAAGTTACTTTTAATATTATTATCTATAATTTTTGCCTTATGTTAAATTTTCCTGAAATGGTCCGTATTCGAGAAATTTGACAAAATGTACAAAATTCTGATTTTTAAGAAAATTGTTAAACTAAAAGTTGTTTGCGATATCAATCTCTATAATTGTTTTTTACATGATTTTTCTAAAATGGACCGTAATGGAAAAATAGGAGAAAAAGTGCCAAATTTAAATTTTTCATTATTTTTGTTTTCAATGAATATCTATAGAAATATTTTTCGAGTTAGCTGTTTGAGGTGCTGCAATAGGTTGTACAAAATAACCGGAAAAAGCCTACAATAACCAGATAGGAAAGTCCTGTGTTGGACACATCAGATTTTTATTACGATTTAAACATTGAACTTGTCCTGAAATTGCACATGAAATTAAATATTTTAATTCAATAAATATTTTAATCCAATAAATAATACATTTCATATACAAGATGTCAATTCAATAGGTGAATATAAAGAAAAATGTTCAAATCTGAACTTAAAGTTCCTGTTTGACGCTAGTCTCTGGAGTTCGATCATATTTGTGTGGTTTGGCGATGCAGGAGTGGCACTCTGTATCAAATTGCAATGAAGAGAACGAAAGAGAAAGGGAAGAGAAAAAATCTCCTCTCTTTTTTTCCGTATCGAAATTTGTACTCTGTAGCAATTTCTTTATTTAATTCGCTGTGAATCGGGAGTTTCCGTCGCTAAGAGAAATTTCTAAAATAACGAACTACTCGTCCTAAAACTGTTGGCTTGACTTCTATTTGACACATTAAATAAAAAAAGAAAGAATTTTAACTAACCCAATTTTTTAAATATATTTGGATGTTTTGAACGTGGAATTTCTTAAAATAGTATTACTCCATTGATTATTCTGGATCTAAGTTCATTTTCGACTGCTTTTTAATATTTTTATTTACCGCTAATTTAAAGCAGACCCTGTGTTCAAAGGTAAGTGGAGAAAATAAAAGTGATTTCAGATTATACCACTAATTTGACTTTCTATATTTTAATAATATTTTAACTTTCAGATGAATCCTGTCATAAGACATGTGATGCAAAAAGCCCAAAATGATCAACAAAAATATGAATGTTTTCTTTATTTTTATTAATCTTGTGATTAATTACAAACCGACAATCCACATAAAAATAAAGTAAACTTAAAATGTCAAAACAAAACTGCCAAATCAAGTTCTTAATGTAAACAAAGAAAGAGTTATACCCCTTCCATACAATAAAGCGAGACATATTCTTAAGCGACGAGGTCTTAGCGATCTTTTTCCCAGTGACAATCGTACATGTCCGGTTCAATCGTAAGTAGTCGAAGAGAGTTACAGAGTAGAAAAACGTCAAAAGAAGTCGGGATAGAGAAAAGATCTCTTGCCTTTCTCATATTTCTAGTTACGGAGTGCCGCTCCAGTTGGGCCAGGGCGAAGAGTGGTGGTAGATCTTGTTTTGTAGAAGACCCGTAGAACTATTAGTGTAGATAACACAATAGCTGCTGTGATGGCATTCGATATATATCTTGAACTGCATTTTCTTCGGAAACTATGGAATTTAAGTTATCCGTCTAAAGCGTTATACATTATAAAGAGCAATTTATGTAAAATAAGTGTCTTTTTAGAAATAAATTTATATTTAGTTTCAATATTGTTTTTCTATATACCTCCTCTTCTAATGAAAACCAATCCAAAACATGGTCCCATATCTCATGTCAAATTGACTGGAATTATACTATTTGCCCCATTTTATAATTATAATTACACTAGTTGTCCCATTTTAAATTTTTTTATAGATTTTAGTAAAGAAATAATTTAGTTAAATTAAAACATTTGCTGGGGTTTTGGTTTTATTTTATTAAAATAAATATCATTACAATATATATCCTTAATTATACATTTATAATAAACATATAATATAAAAATAATTTTTAAGTGCAGTCTCAAATCTCAAAATAAGATAAAATGTCATAAGCAGGTGTAATGTCATCATGGGTGTTTTTCACACGAGGGCAAAGGGGGCGTCTGTCCCCTCCTGGATTTCTGATTTTAGATTTTTTCGCCATAGCTTTAAACTATAGCCTGAGTCTATTTTACCCTGCCTATAAGACTTGTCGCCCCCTGGAAATGTTTTGAACGGCGCCCATGAATGTCATAATCATGTGTAATGTCATGGTCAAGTTTAATATCATAATCAGATCTTATGTAATGCCATGATCGGCTGTAATTGTTAAAATCTGGTAAAATTTTAATAAGTCACGTTAGTTGAAATTACATTATATTTAGTCATAATTGGTTATTTAGATTTATTGGTTTTTATAATTGAAATTATTTATGAAAAATTATTGTTGTCACTTTTTCTATACCTTTTTGTTTTATGTTTAAAGTGTTTGTATCGTTTTAAATTTTTTATTAAGTATATTTTAAAAAAAATTCTTGTTATTTTTTCCTTTCTGGTGTAAATGATCTTCTTTTAATTCTCGTTTTATACTTATAAGAAATAAGCCTTAATTTAATTTTAGTGTGCTTAGGGCGGATTGTATAATAAGAAGTTAAAATGTAATCCTGGTTTAAACTGTGAACCTTGTAGTATAATCATCAGTTTGTTATTGTTAAACATTTTTAAAAAAGACATTTGTACTTTGTATATAACCAGTTAAAAATTAAACTCCTGTTAGCTAAAGTGAGTTTACAGCATTCTTTGTACAACCCACCCTTACTTAGTAAATAATAATATTTTTAAATAGAATATTTGTCGAATGTCAAACAGCCCTGATAATTTAAATAAAGAGTTTGTGAGGTAAGTACGTCTTTTCCCGTATATTATTTTTGAATAATCCACACTGATAACAGCGATAACAATATTAAACTTTTCGCTATATTATGTTGACCACTCTACAACCTCAGTTATGCGTTTATAACTGCTCATTAAAAACCTCCTTATTCTTCGAAATTACATATCGGTGCAGACGTCAATCCCAATGCCATAAATCAATCGATAATGGATTTGTCTTTAAACAATCAACCGTACATTTTTGCGTCCTAGATATACATAATCATAATATCTCCGATTAATCCAGTAATGCAATAACAAATACACTTTTAATGGCATAGACAGACGTAGGTATTATTAATTGTTGGACACATAATCTTTTTCTAGTTCAATGCCGGGTCACCACGTAATTTAATACAAATAGAAATTGGAATTAAGACCATAGTGAAAGTATAAGTATAATTAATACAACGCGAGGGGTATTTTTGCTCAATACCAACCACGCCTGTCTGATCTGTGGGATAATATAAAAACGGTTTGCTGTTTAATTGGGATTATAGTTTGATTTAGTGCTCAAACAAGAAGTAACAACTAATTTAACAATGGCATTTAAAGTAAGTGATAAAAAAAGGTGTAAAATTTGTGATTGGTTTGATAGTGCAACAAAATCCAAGTTCAAAATTTTCGACATCTCAGAACCAGTTGTATAGGTTCATATTAAACTACAAGTTCTAGTTAAACCTAAGTATAAGCAACAAGGTTCTTGGAATATAAGTGGATGTAACCGTCATTCGGAGTTTAACTATCAACCGGTAGATAGACTAGAAGTTAAACTACAAGATTAATCACATGCGCAAAGCATTGCATTTTCAATCATTAACCTTTAAAATATTCTAAATCTAAATGGATGCGTACTATTTGATGATATTTTATTTGCATCACTTTTTTTAATATATACTATACATTGTCTGTATATTTCTTCATGAGTGATATTATTAATGAACTTATTTCGAGTTTGGGTAAATTTGAAGACCTTTTGCCATCATTATCCATTCTAATACCTAAATATAGTTGAAAGAAACATCAAAAATAATATTAATAAACAATAATTTCATATCGAAAATTAAAGAATATTATTTTATCTTAAATAGTTACGTTATAAGGTTATTATTTAAAATTCAAATTATATGTCAAAATTATCAAATGAAGGTAGGATGAAGTTAGCCACAAATAATTTAACAGTAACTTAGACATAGATTAGGGAAGTGTTAATAGATGGGAAACTCAATATTAAAATTCTAAGGTGATGTGCTGCAATCTATAAAATTGGAGTGGTACTAAATTCAATATGGCCGCTAGGAGCGGGCTTTTTAAAATTTTACTTTTTTTTACTGAGGCAAAAATGTAATACAGAATATCAAATAAAAATATTAATTAGTGTATTTTAACTAGTTTAAAACCATAAAACAATTAATATTTGCCATTTTATATTTGATTTTATTTTATTATATTTTTGCATTAATTTCAAACTTGTCAAATTTGTCAACTTTTTTACACCTGCTTGAGATGAAAAGAAATAAAATGTAGGAGTTGCTCCAGATCAACAAAAACTGTTAAAAAAATCTGATGTGTCCAACACATGACTTTCCTATCTAGTTATTATAGGCTTTTCCGGTTATTTTGTACAACCTATTGCAGCATCTCTATAAATGTTTAGAGGATAAACTAAATATATACATTGTCCACATACATCTACCTCGAAACATTTTTCTATAGATATTCATTGAAAACCAAAATACTGAAAAATTTTAATTTAGCACTTTTCCATTACGGTCCATTTTAAAAAAATCATGTATAAACAAAAATTATAGAGATCGATATCGCAAACAACTTTAAGTTCAACAATTTTCATAAAAATCAGAATTTTGCACATTTTGTCAAATTTCTCGAATACGGACCATTTCAGGAAATTTTGACATAAAACAAAAATTATAGATAATAATATTAGAAGTAACTTTTATTTGAACAATTTTCTTCTCCAAACATAAATAACAGATATATTCCATAAAATATAAAAACGGTTTTCCATAAAGTACCCCCCAGATGATTCGACTTGGTCCAAAATCTAATCATTTCATGTCAGACCGAAATAAAACTTAAATTTAAAATTTAATGTTTTTTTCTTTATCCGTTTTTGAGTTTTCTTCAAAATTCAAAATTTACACATGTTCTCAAATATCTCGAATACGGTCCATTTTAGAAAAATTATGTATAAAATAAAAATTATAGAGAATTATATTACAAACAACTTTTATTTAAACAATTTTTATAAAAAAATATTTTTTTTTTACATTTTGTCAAATTTTTCGAATACGGACCATTTTAGGAAAATTTTGTATAGAACAAAAATTATAGATAATTATATTAGAAGTAACTTTTATTTAAAGAATTTTCTTCTCCAAACGTAAATAACAGATATATTTTATAAAATATAAAAATGACCACCTATTAAGTACCCCCCCTTAATCTAATCAGTTCATTAGATTAAGTTTAAAATTTGGTATTTTTCTGTGTATCGGTTCATGAGTTATGCGACCTAGAGACACACACACACACACACACACACACACACACACACACATACGCACGCACGCGCACACACACACACACACACACACACACACACACACACACACTCACACACACTCACACACACACACACACACACACACACACACACACACACACACACACACACACACACACACACACACACACACACACACACACACACACACACACACACACACACACACACACACACACACACACACACACACACACACACACACACACACACACACACACACACACACACACACACACACACACACACACACACACACACACACACACACACACACACACACACACACACACACACACACACACACACACACACACACACACACACACACACACACACACACACACACACACACACACACACACACACACACACACACACACACACACACACACACACACACACACACACACACACACACACACACACACACACACACACACACACACACACACACACACACACACACACACACACACACACACACACACACACACACACACACACACACACACACACACACACACACACACACACACACACACACACACACACACACACACACACACACACACACACACACACACACACACACACACACACACACACACACACACACACACACACACACACACACACACACACACACACACACACACACACACACACACACACACACACACACACACACACACACACACACACACACACACACACACACACACACACACACACACACACACACACACACACACACACACACACACACACACACACACACACACACACACACACACACACACACACACACACACACACACACACACACACACACACACACACACACACACACACACACACACACACACACACACACACACACACACACACACACACACACACACACACACACACACACACACACACACACACACACACACACACACACACACACACACACACACACACACACACACACACACACACACACACACACACACACACACACACACACACACACACACACACACACACACACACACACACACACACACACACACACACACACACACACACACACACACACACACACACACACACACACACACACACACACACACACACACACACACACACACACACACACACACACACACACACACACACACACACACACACACACACACACACACACACACACACACACACACACACACACACACACACACACACACACACACACACACACACACACACACACACACACACACACACACACACACACACACACACACAGACATCATCGCGAAAATAGTCAAAACGGATTCAGGGGACCTCAAAACGTAAAAATCCGTCGAAAACTCGAAGTCGAAAAAAATCATGATTCCTATACTTTCCTTATATCTGTATACAAATAGGAAAGTAAAAAGCGCTAAGCTAGACCCAGGAACTAGTACTGCTCGCGAGTAAGCCAGATGACACAGAAGAAAGCACTCATAATTTATAGATAATTGAATTTTAAACCTAGTTTCTTGTTTTCTGCTCTTTTTCTACTACCTCTATGGAATTCTCTAACATACTCTAAATCACTTCTCAACTTTGTTTACTGTGAATTGCGAAATTGGTTTTAGGTTGAGATATGTATTGTTGTATAAAGCATATACTTCTCAGCAACAACCAGGAGGATTTGACAAGTTGAGAGGCAGGTCCTACAAAACCCTGGAGGATGCAAAATTGGCTTTATGATGCCTAAGTGCTGTAAAGCAACCCACCTTTATATACAAACCTTTATATGTATCCTTGTTTTGTTTCCATAACCAATCATCATCAGAATTTGAATTAATTGCGTTTCAGTAAGCTTCATTTGATAAAAACCGTTATTACCATTTTCATTTTCTGATTACTCAAATACGTTTAATTTGAACGCTGCAGTCTTGATAAAAAACAAATTTTTAAAAATGTCTAGCAAGAAACCGAACATTTTTTTTTCAGTGACGTCTTTTACCAAATTTACCTTTTGGTCGAAAATTATTACTTAAAACGTTTTCTGTTGCAATTTTATAAATATTTTTTTACCAGTATGATGAAAGTAGTTGAATAGATAATTAAAAGCACTATCGCAAATGTTGTACAGTACAAATCACATTTATACTATTTATTCTGCATTAATCCTTATTACATAGCTTAATTTTTCTTTACAGTTCGTCGCACTTTTCGCTCTGGTGGCAACCTGTTCAGCAGGTGTCCTCAACAACCCCCACCATCAAGCCTATTCAGACGCCCCCTCAGTTTCATACTCCAGCGTTTCAAGCCCAGTAGTCGGACATGGCTCTCCATCATACTCAGCACCGTCACACTTAGCCTACTCAGTTGCAGCACCATCTCACGTAACCTACTCGGCTCCAGCACCTTCTCACGTAGCCTACACGGCTCAAGCACCATCTCACGTAACCTACTCGGCTCAAGCGCCATCTCACGTAACCTACTCGGCTCAATCGCCATCTCACGTATCTTACTCAGCTTCAGCACCATCTCAAGTAAACTACGCTGCTCCCGCTTACAAGGTAGCTGCCCCAGTAGCTTACGCTGCTCCTGCCTACAAAATTGCCGCTCCAGTATCCTACGCTGCTCCTGCCTACAAAATTGCAGCTCCTGTAGCCCACGCTGAGCCATCGGCTCCAGCTCACTACGAATTTTCTTACGGAGTTGAAGACCACCACACCGGTGATATCAAGAGCCATCACGAAACCCGTGAAGGTGATGTAACCAAAGGAAGCTACTCCCTCATGGAAGCTGATGGTTCTAAAAGGATTGTAGAATACACTGTAGATGCTCACAGTGGTTTCAATGCTGTCGTACACAAAGAACCAGCTCAAGGACACGTTAAATCTGTAGCTCCTGTAGCTTACGCTAAAGTAGGTGCACCTGTAGCCTACGCTAAAGTAGGTGCGCCTGTAGCCTACGCTAAAGTAGCTGCGCCTGTAGCATACGCTAAAGTAGCTGCTCCTTTTGCTTATTCGGCTCCTGTTGTTGCTAAAGTACCCGCTTTGACTAAAGTAACTTACTCTAGCGCTCCTGAGGTGTCATACTCTAGCGTATCTGCACCTGTTGAAGCTGGTCACTACCATTGATTTGTTTGTTGACTAAATTAGTTATTGATATTGACTGTTTATTTATTATTAGAGTTTAAGGCAAATAAAAGAAAAATTACTTAGTTATTGGTTTTTTTTTTTCGTTCTAATAATGGGAGTATGAATTTTCACATTGCTTTCGATGACTTAAGGGTATATATTATAAAAGAGTGTGTATTAACAATAGTAAATCTAAAAAATGTTTCATACTCAGAAAGCAATTAATTTCATCTATAAAAATGATCGTAATACTAAATATATATCAGTGTCACAACAACTCGTTTTTATATTGGCTAACATTCAATAATATTTTATAACGAGATTTAATGTTCTGATATACAAAAGTTATAATAAAATGTTTATTGTATAAAAAAAGAACGACCTTGCGATGAACGTGTTAAGAGCCTGTGGCAAGGAAAAGATTATCGTTGCTATAAAAAGGTTACCACACCCAAATAACAGCAAATATGCATATCCATCAAGGTATTTTTAAACATGTGTACATTATTTTAAATTTGAATTATTATAAAATTAAGTTAGAAGCTACAGGACATGACCATTTTTGTCTCGATGCTTATTATAAGGCTGTAAAAATGATTAAAAAAAAGTAGTATGTGAAACAAAAGTGGATATGGATAATCCACTCGAGTTGTACAGTATATCTTATTTCTACAACCACCTAACCAAATGCTACAAATTTTAAAAATTATTTTAAGGTTATTAAGACAAAGTAATTTATGACTTTATAAATAATTTATAAAATAAAATATACGTGAAAAAAAGATTTAATCTAATTAGTCCCAGATTTGAAGAAGAAAAATATACATATAGAGATAGGATTAATCACTTTACCCATTGGACAGGCCAGGAAGTTTTAGAAAGATTAATAATATTACCCCACAATTAAGTTCTCCTACAACATCGTAAGTACCTAAGGACTCAAATTCCTGTTAAAGAAATTGAATGTCTTTTTGTAACGCTTTCATTTAAAAAGAAATAAGCAAGGTATCCGTGAAAAAGTTCTTGCAACATTAAGATATTTGGGAACTACAAGTCATTGGTGATTTTTATATAATCAATAAGGGAACAGCTAGTAGATTGAATGTATTGACAATTTTAAGACCACAATTTATCAATATATGCCAGGTACTAAAAAATAAATCATGACATTTAGACAAGGGTTATGCTACAATATTGGAAGATTTTCACGTTGCATTAGACTGGACCTGCATAAAAGTTAAGGTAATAAATAAATTATTTTTTTAATAAGGATTTTTCTCTTAATTTTATTTAATTTTAATGTTATAATAATCATTCTTGGCCAGTTGAAAAAAATGGGTTGTGATTAAAATCGTTTTAAATTTACATTTTAGTCTCCTGAAAGATCAGAAGCTGAAAATTACAGAAATAAGGAAGGATTTTTTCCCTAAATTTTCAAGCCATATGTGACAGTGAATAACAAATCAATATTTCTTGTGCAAGTATAAAACAGAATATGGAGCATGCATGGGCGTCGTTACACAATTCTATAGGGGGGGGGGGCAAAATTTTGAAAAAATTTTAGAATGTTTATTTGTTGGAAAACAAAGGAAATGAAATACAAAAGGAAATTTTCTTATGATGGATTTAATTTTTCTATGACGTCATGGCTTACAGCTTTTCCAGAAATAACAGAAAATCGCAATTTATTTTTTATTTTTAAATGAAAACCATTTTTTTATTAAAAATTTGAATATCTGGGACATTTTTGGGGCGTGTATTGAAAATTTTCTATAACATATATATTAAAAAAATATATTTTCCAATATGATGGTAATTTTGACAGCTGACAGAAAATTTTCAATACATGATTATTATACAAAAAATTTTAAATTTACAATAAAAAAATTTCGATTTTCGTTATTTCCGGAAAAACCGGAAGTAAGCCAGGACAGAATAATTGAATCAATCATAAGAAAGTGTTTGTTCCAGTCTTTCAAACAGAACAAAATTATTCAGATATCTCACTAAATATTGAAAATAAGGGGAGTGGAATTTTAGTAGTAACCCTAACAATGTCGCTGACCCATTTGACAGAACTGATACTTAAGTTGTCATAACAAGTTTCTAATAAATAAAATAACCAAACAAAAAAGACAAAAACTAAAATTAAAAAAAAAACAAGAAACTTAAAGCACATTTTTAAAAAATAAACAGAAGGTGTGATATAAAAGAAAAATATGAACACAATAATATTAAAAATAAAAATTTATAAAAAACAAAAACATAAAAAAACTCACTCAAATATGTCAATGAATACAAAAAAAAACACTAGGAAAACGCAAATTTTAAATTTCTTTTTTCTCTACTAAAAACATCGATAACGAAAAACACAATTTATTTTTCAGTCAGCCTATTTTCATTCATTATTCACTCCGTGCGTGACAGCAACGCCAACTATTTTATGAACTAACGGACGATATTTGCGTATACTAACAATACAATTTTTTAGAGTTTGTAATTAAGAAATATATATGTTAATTAAGTGAAAAAATTATTATTATTATATATTTTTATTACTTTAGCTAAAAAAGGTCAATAAAAATCAATAATAAAACATAGGCAGGTATTTACATTTTCTCGTAAATAAAGATCTTGCCTAAACATAATAAGTTGTCATTGAAGATTAGGTTAAATAATGTCAAATTAAAAATATTACCATTATATAATAACGTAGAATTAAATCGTAATAACAAAAATAGTTGGTATATTTGCGATTATAATTTATATTTTCTTCATTTTTAATTCGAAAGAACCCATAGAAATTAATGAATAAAACTGGTTTCCTATCAATAAGTCACAAGATTGCATGTCAGCCATATACAATAATTAAAGGCAGCAATCTAATCATTTACTAAACATTTTAAATTTAAGGGATGTTAAAGTATATCATAAAAAAATAATTTATTGCTTAATTATTACATAAATAAAGGTTTTTTGTTCTTATTATACAGCTGTCCATTTATTTCTTTTATTTAATTTCGATTTTGCTACTAAACACTCATATAATTTACAGTCTTTTTGCTAGTATAATTTGCAACATAGCAACTCCAGTTGCTCATTTTATTGTTTTTACCTATTTTTTTAATAAAAAGTAAAATTTATACGTGTATTTGATACGCCAAAATTACAAAATATCGCCCTAAAATACTCGAATTATCCGCAGCTTGCGCTAGTATCGCTTTTGCTTCCCCTACCATGACTTCGCTCTGATCGAATAGACCGCAGCCATGTTTTAACATGCCTTAGCGTTTCAAATTCCAAACGTTCTTTCGATAAACTCTGTCGTTGGTGGAAGAGCCATAAATATTTTTTAAACCATTTTGTATGTCTGCCCCCCCCCCCTTGCCCCCCCCCCCCCCAAACGACGCCCATGGGAGCATGAGTATAATGTACAATGTCTATGGAGATAGCCGCTACCTCTTAACGCCTTTAGGGGAACATCGTACTCAAGCAGCTGAAAATCTATTCAATTCTACCCAAATAAGGAGATGAAACCCCATTGAAAGGTGTTTTGGAGTTTTAAAAAGGATATTATCTTTGTATATTTTTCATCCAAGGCAAATTTAGGGGGGCTTTGAAAAACAACTGTCGCCAACTGGAAAGTATTTAAAAGTAATCGATGAAGTTTTTTAATGTAGGCAGTAGGCCAAAAAAGGTTGGGAATCTATGGCTAAAATATTGTGTCATCTTTAATACTGCATAACATTATTGCTATACATTATAAAGATAGAATGCTACCAATACGACCAGAGAAATTGAACAAGAAATCAATATAATATTGGATGGTATTAATCAAGTTGAACATGTGCGAATTAATAATAAAGAAGTAACTCGTTGTGTTTTAAATGATTATTTTCATGATTCATTAATTTAATTTATTTTTTAATAAAGTTTATTCAAAAAAAAAAAACAAATTATTTTTCAAAGTAGGTATGTATTAATAATTATTAAATATTGTAAAAGAACAATAAATAATTCTGCATATGTTGGGTTTTTTTTTGCAAATCAACCATTTTTTTAACCATCTTTTTTTTTAATTAGTACAGTGCCCTAACCTTGTTTTAATGAGTCATTCTAGCTTATTAACATCTCTAACACTGGTGGAAAATGGTAGGCTTTTGTTATTTTTAAAGACTCTGACACATTGCCTGAATAATCAGATGGCTTCCAGATGCTGATATTTTCTGGTTCTTCATGCATTAATTATTCTAAAAAGTAAACTACATTGTTAGTTTTATTTTAATTAAAACTAGCTTCACACAAAAATAAATAGACAAAAGATACTGCAAGATTATATTCATTTTAGGAATACTTTAATTTAGTAAACAATTACACAGAAAATATTATCATCTACATTCAAGAAAAGATAACATTTGTTTGAAATAAAGTAAAGTTTGCTTCAAATAATATTTCTCGATACAATAAGAAAATAAATGTTGAGTGAAGTATTGGCATAATCTTGTATTAAAGAGCCGATTCCACCGTTGTGTTAAACGGAGATTAAAATGACATTGTTAATGTAAAAATGTCATTTTAAACTTCGTTTAACACAACGGTGGAATCGGTCCTTAGAGTTATAATAATTAATCTGAGAATAAATTATTTCATTTCAGTATAGAATTGTAAATTAATCCAAGAAAGCTCTTACGTTTATTATAACTATAATATGCTCTTAAAATCGACTATTGCATACTCAATGTTATAAAAGGATTCTGTTCAAAGCATTTAAATTTCAGAGCAAAAATTAAACAATTCGAATCAAAAACCTATATACTTCACAAAAGATTAGCTAGTACAAATTCACTGCACGGTGTTGCCAGCTAAAACTTATTTTAAAATGCAACCACCACACTAATACGGTAGATATATGACTGGCACATGTTGAGATATAATACTTATTATTTGGAAGTTAGAGACACAACCATTTATAGAGAATCTGGCAAATTGGCATTAGCACG